TGTTGTGATGTTAGAGGCCCTCCACAAGTTTGACACTTTCAAGTTTCCTTCTGTTTATACAGTTGATTGCAACTTTGTTTCTCTCCTCTCCCCCAGACTGCTGATCCCTTCCTGTTCACTGCTCAACTCTTTTTATTGAACTATTTATTTATCTAGTTAATGTGTCCCGATTCCTATCACCTACAGCTCAGATCTCGCATTATTATAAGGTTCCTAATTGTATCTCACCACTAGTCTGATTGAATTCACAATTCCTGGTCAGTCCCATTCCTTTACTTATAATAACCTTTAGGGCCAGTTCACACTACCTGTGTTTCAGTTGCTTTTTTTCTGAATCCAAAATGCACAGAAAGAAGGTTATATGGTTGTCAATGTCATAGTTCACATCAGTGTTTGCAGTTCCAGTGCATTCCGGTTGCAGAAAACAAAGTAGAACATGCTGCATTTTTTCTGCACATAACTGTACTGTAACGCTGTAAAACACATCAGAAACGAACAGGAACGCACCAACGCAGAAAAAACAATTGTCAAAAATGCCACATTCACACGGGTCCTCTGGCCTGTACAGCATGAATGAGTGAGTTGTTCACTGTATGAACACAGGTTCTCATTTGACAGGTGTGCAGGCGTGGGGAAGTGGCCCCAAATGCTCACTGTCTGTGCTCCGGGCTGTACACCTGCACCTATATGCCTGTAAAATTAGGACCTGCAGCATTTCCATAGTGTAACATAGGTTGCCTGCAAACCGCGATAGCCACAAAATAAACCACTGATTCACACTCTACAGGCCACAGCACCCATGTGAATGAGCCCCAAGACCTCAATTACACACACAGCTTTATGAACTCAGTACAGTTTTATCATTCAGATTTAACAGGAATATGGTTAGGATTGTGTCCATTAATAAAGGTTGTAGTGTATTTTTACCATAAATATAATTTGGACATTTTCTCTGGTGGTGGGGCCCTGTCAGGTAGGCTGTACAGGGCCCGTGATATCTTACAGCGGCCCTGCTGGGCAGGAAGGGGCTAACATAAGGGGCGATCAAAGGGTTAACTGTGTGCAGGGAGTGTTTTACCAGGGGCTGTGTCAGTGTGCTTCACTGTAATCACACTGTTCTGGATGGCTGTGCTGTGCACAGCTACCCAAAGCAGTGTGCCCAAGCTGACAGGGAGGAGAACTGTTAGTAAACAAAACAGTTCTCCTTCTCTTCGGAGATTGTCGGAAATCACAGGGCTCTGGCGAGAAATCATCGGACGGGACGCAGTGATTGACATCCACAGTCATCCATGTGATTTTGTGCACCCATGATGCCCTGTAGCAGCATTTCTGCTATAGGGTGGTGCGGAAGCAGTTAAGGTGCGTGAGCTTTTCCGTAGTGCATCAGGGTGTATAGGGCGAACGGGAAGCAGTTAAAGGGGTAGTTCTCCTTTACCAAATAACTGCCTATGCAGATAAGGGGCATCTGTGGTTAAAAACAAACTGTGTGTCTCTGACTAAAGATGAATAATGTCCTTGTTTTAGGTGTAGGCCATTTAAGCTGGCCATACACATACAGATTTTCATACGAGAATTTTCATTTCAAGAATATTAATTTCATTTTCTAATCGTTAGGGAGGATCAAATCAATGCTTGTTTATTTCGACCGCAGTGACAGGAAAATTCAAAGGGGCAGGAAGGAAAACTTTTCTCGATCAAACAAATATTTGGCCAGTATATGTGGTTATTGTTCAGAAATTACATTCATTTTAAACCCGAATGTTAAAAGCAAAAGGCAATTTTTGAACGACATTTGTCCATTCAACGAATGTTCAAAGAATTTTTGTAAGAATATTCTTGTCCGAAAATCTACACGTGTATGGCCAGCTTAAAATACCTCATGAAGCCTGACTGAAATACTCCAAGGACGTTGCTACTTCCAGGAAGTGAGGTCTAGTCATTACTGCTTACCACTAACATCACAAGATTGAGATTTATCTGAGTCAGACCCCTCACATGCTCTTTCCCTCCCCGATGTAGTAGCTCTGAGCTCAGTGTCTGAGAGCTCACTCCTCTGGTGGTGGAGGTGAACAGTAATGACATTTTAGACTGAGCAGCCAATTTCTGGGGGTGGGAGGGGTGCAAGGGCAGTTGGTGATGGAATATTCACAGAGTCTGTACTCCGCATAGTAATATAAAGGGTCACTGTGATATAAAGGAGACTGCACTGTAAAGGGGCACTGTATTGATTACAGTGCCCTTTACAGCGCAGTCCCATTTATATCACAGTGCCCCTCTACATTACAGTGCCCCTAGAGATCTAATCACAGTGCCCCCTATATATTAAAAGAGATGGCCCAATCCAGCAAAGAGACATCCCCATATAGCAAAGAGAGGATGTCTCTAGGCTGGACAGGGATGTCTCTTTGCTGGATGGGGATGTCCCTTCTTGGACTTGGCTGTCTCTTTGCTAGATTGGAATGTCTCTTTGCTGGACAGGGATGTCTCTTTGCTGGATGGGGATGTCCTTTCTTGGACTGGGCTGTCTCTTTGCTGGATTGGGATGTCTCTTTCCTGGACCCAACTGGGCAAAGAGACAGCCCAGTCCAGCAAAGATACAACCCATCCAGCAAAGAGACAGCTCATCCAGCAAAGAGACAGCTCAACCAGCAAAGAGACAGCCCGTCCAGCAAAGAGACATCCCCATATAGCAAAGGTGGGATGTCTCTTTGCTGGACAGGAATGTCTCTTTGTTGGATGGGGACGTCCCTTCATGGACTGGTCTCTTTGCTGGACCCAACTGGACATCCCATCCAGCAAAGAGACAGCTCATCCAGCAAAGAGACAGCTCATCCAGCAAAGAGACAACCCATCCAGCAAAGAGACAGCTCATCCAGCAAAGAGACAGCCCATCCAGCAAAGAGACAGCTCATCCAGCAAAGAGACAGCTCATCCAGCAAAGAAACAGCCCATCCAGCAGAGACAGCCCCATCCACTGCTGCTACAGACCTGTCACAAAGTGCCGGCAGACGAGGGTGAAGAAGAGAGGCCGCCATTCTTCCTTCAGTGCAGTGCCGGCCAAGGAGGTGTCCCTGTGTCAGCAGTGCTTCCTGCTTGTCTTCAGGAGCCGTCACTGCCGCTCCTCCTGCCGGCCCTGCTTTGGGCATAACCGCACAGCTGGAGATGAGCGGCGGCCGCGGTCTGCATTAGCTCTGTTCAGACTACATTCGCTGCTTACCTTCTGCTGTGCAGCCCGGTCATCTTAAGCCTGGCCCACTGGGCAGATATCCGGTATGCCCCATGGCCAGTCCAGGCCTAGACTTAATGGCTGGATCACTAGATGAAAATAGAAGAAAGAACTAATGCAGCCATCACATCTAAGAATTGGAAAGCTGCAATATAATTTATGTTTTGGGGTTTAATACTGCCTACTAAACCCAGATCCCAGCATTCACTATATCTGGTCTCCCACAGTACACACAACATAGAAATGCAATTATTTTAAGAAATATAAACTGCTAAATACCTTTTCTCATCAGCAGTTAGAGCAGTCTTGTGACTTCTATCTGCATTTAGCAGAGCACTGGTTAAAGCTTGTAGGAGGAGTTTTCTTTCTTCTCTGGGAGGATGCAGAGCCCCTGACCTCTGTCTGGACAGTGCTGATTGGTCCTGATCACATGCACTCTCCCAGGAAAAAAAAAAAAAACCTCTCGAGCAATACACACTAAACTAAGCATGTGCAAAATGGCTACAGGTTCAGTCTGTCTTATCAGGAGATAAGAGGTGGTCATTTGAACAAGGGGAGGAGCAGAGAAAACAGGATTAAATGGCATTTTTACACAATGCAGAGGATTATCCCCTTAGGTTCCACAGTGAGTTTAACAAGCATGCTTTACTACATATACAGACTGATTTTACTGTTGTGGGTTCAGTAAAACTTTAAATAGTGGTGTATTTAAGTTTTGTGCTGCCCTAGGCAACACAAAAATCCCCCCCCCCCCACAGAGAGAGAACCTGACACCAACCAACACCACCACCCCCACACACACACTCACACACCCGAGAGAGCCTTCCACTACCACCACCCTACATATGCCAGCCACCCCCACCCCACCACTCCTCAGTGAGAGAGAGAAAGACATTCACCTTCACATCTTCAGACATCCCCTGGAATGAGAGTCATGAGATGAGAAAGCCCGCAGCCCGTCTCAGATCCCACCTGGTCCCCATGCTGTGTGTGTCTCTTCTTCCGGGAGGGGGGGGTGCTGCTCCCCTGAAAAATGCCACCCTAGGCAAATGCCTTGTTTGCCTTGTGGTAAATACACCCTTGACTTTAAACCTTTTGTAGTCTGAGCCATCTTTTTGCACATGTTTAAAAAATCATTTTAGACCTGAAGATTATGTAAAACCCCCAAACATTATATATTTTCTGAAAGCAGACATCCTAGAGAATAAAACAGCCATAGTTCCATTTCGTTATGTCGCATAATATTAGCACAACAGTTTATGAAATGCAAAATGTCAGTAAAAAATACACTAAAGTTCATTTTAGGGCAAATAAACACAATATATTAGCCAATTTTTTGGTAAAAATATAATAGATGAGTAAAAACATACCCAAAATGTCAAGCCTTAAAATCGTGTGTGTCTGTGAGACAGCAACAAAACCTCAGTAGTCTATATTTTCCACAGGCAATATATTAAAAGCCTCTACAGGTCATTGGTTTAGAGGTAACCATGAATTTTGGGCCTATAATTATGGCGTGCATGGTGATATGTAGCATATGTAATGCAATCAACGTTTTTTCTGCGTAGGAGCCACCATACATGCGTGTATGTGGAGGAGGGAGGGACTCAAAATCTTTTTTGGGAGGATTTTAACCTCCCTGGCGGTATTCCCGACTGTAGCTCGGGGTTAACTTTCAGTACCAAAAGCGGTAACCCTGAGCTACACTCGGGAATACCATGCAACGTTGTTCAGGGATTCCCTGTAGCACTTACCTTGTCCTGCGCTCCCGCGGTGTGTCCCCTGCAGTGTCCCTGGCCATCTCCTCCGGGCGATGCCGGCATCTGTCTTCCAGGTTCCCTGCGAGCGTCGGGACGTACAGGACCTACGGGACGTACAGGTGCCGGAACCAGTGGGAAATTTGAAAATTTTTAAAACTGACATTCACTAATACACTAAAATCTCATAGTAAAACATTACTGTATCAAACCATTTCACATACATTTTGTCCCTACTGCTTTGTCCTGTGCTCTGCCTGCATTTTTACTGTTCTTTCTGCCTGGAAACTGAGAAACGTCCATGGCGTCCAAAAAGCGTCCCTTTAAGTCAAAAGCGGTTTTAGACCAGCTAGAGAACAGCAATAGTAAATCAGAACCACTTGCAGAATTGAGTGATAATGATTTGTGGGGCAATTCGTCATCTGCACTGAAAACGATTCTGCGACTTTGCTCAGTGATGTGCGAACTTTGCTCTCTATTTCAAATTTCAGTGTTTTTGGTTTGATTATATTATTGAATTCAATTTATTATTATTATATTATTATTTTTTATGATTATTTATTATATTATAATTTATTATTTCGTGTTTCAATTTTTATCATACATGGAATGTTTACTAGACTCTTGTTCGGACAGATTTCAGTGAGTTATTCCTAACAATTACAGCCCTACAATAAAAAAATGACATATTTCCATGCAAAAAAATGTACCGCTTTCAGCACAAAAATATGGACATAATCAGACCGCTAGGGAGGTTAATTGCCTGCATTGCTGTCTGTGTCCCTATTAGGGAGATCCACACTTTCTGTTTGTCATGTTTACATTTATCATCACCAAGAGTGAAAGTAAAAATAGTACCATATTTTTGGGTTGCCACCAGGACAGAGGGATTCTTGCAATGGGAACATTAGTTTTGGTAACCCTAGTGACAACTTAGATTCCTCTCACTTCCTGTTTTGGCTAAGCAACAAGAAGTGAATTGAAATGTCCTTGATGGGATACAGATGGAAACTGATAGGTGTTATAACCCTCCCACCAAAAGGAAAAAAAAAGCTAGCCATCGAAGCCAAGCAGGACAAAATGAAGTTTCAAGGAATGCCCCCTCCTTGGGTCTCACCGGAAAAAGGTGAATTCCCTGAAATGTGGTTCTGAGACCTCAATTTTGAATATGTATACCTAACTTCAATATTGTTCCTATTAAAGTGCCCACCATTTTGTAAATATGGTGCTAGTCCAATGGGGTTTTTTGGTAGTATTTGTGGGAGGGATAGGATTGAATCCATCTGCAGTTGATTGCTTTCCAGAGGTGCCTGAGCAGTGGTTTATAGGTGTTCAGGAGGTGATACTGCCATCCCCTGAATGCCGTTTCTTTTTTTGCATTGCATCTGGCACATAGTTATGGCACAGCCCTATTGACTTCAATTGACACATTAAGCAAGCAGCATTACCTGCCAAATGTGACATTCTGAGTTAAATTTTCCACACCACAAATCAACACAGCTGCAGCAATGTGTACAGTCTTTAATAGCTGCCTTGTTTTTTCCAGGAGGACAGTTGGGGGGTGGTATAAACCCAGATCAGCTGCCTGTTCTTGCTGTCCCTTTGCTCCCCATGAAACTCAGTCTTAATGGAACTTTAACACCTGTTTTATCATTAACCTGTTATTTAAAGTTTTACTAAACCCATGACCCTGCATTCACTATATCTGGTCTCCCACAGTACACAGAGCATGCAATTATTTTAGTAAATATTGTGATTTCTATCAGTGTCCAGCAGAGCACTGGTTAATGCTTGTTGTAGGAGGAGTTTTTATTCTCCTCTCCCTGTCCTATGAGGCTGCAGGACCCCTGACCCTCTGTCTGGACAGCATTGATAGGCCCTGTGCTGATCACATGCACTCTCTCAAGAAAAAGAAAAAACTCTCTAGCAATACACACCAAACTAAGCATGTGCAGCTTGCCCCCAAAGCTCTGCTCTATCAGGAGTTGAAATGGGGACAGTAGAAGAAGAGAGGATCAGAGAAGACAGGGTCAAACATCCTTTTTACACAATGCAGAGGTTTAACCCCTTAAGCTCCACGGTGAGTATAACAAGAATGCTTTACAGCATATATAGACTGGTTTTACTGTTGTGGGTTTAGTAACACTTTAATGCTACTAGTAAGTGTTCTCAGGGCCCTGCATTAATTGTTTGTGTTTATCTCTCAAACTTTTCCTTCACTAGAAATCTTACACAATTTCTATAAAAAGTTATATTATCATCCTGTAAAAGTTTCTGATCAGACCTAAAGAGATCTATAGTCACAGCATACACTTTAATTTTGTATAACATTGTAATAACAATGCAAACAGTAGTTATAATTGACAATCCAGTATAAGCTCACTTGAAAAATTTCCTTTCATGTTGTTAGTTCTGCCTGTCTGCTGAATGCCTCTTTGCACAACTTCCAGGATTCCCTACATGCTTTGCAGCTTCTCTGCTGTTTACTTTAAATTTATAAGGACTACATATCCCATGGTACCTTGCTGCCTGCAAGCAGTGATTCCTGTACTGACTCCACCTCCTGAAACTCCTCCACTCAGCACCTCTGTAGATCAGAAGGCAGGCTCTGGAAAATGTGTGGCACAGCAGTGCCTACTCAAAAGGCATTCTGAATATGTGTCACAGAATTCATGGAAGAAAATGTGTGAGATCTTCACAGAGTAAGTATACAAACTTCAAGATTGTTCAGAGTAGTAGGAGCAGGCTACAGATAATTGAAATACAATGTGGAAATTAATATTTGATTTTACATTTTGACCATAGATATACTTTAGTAAATATGAGCCTTTAAATAAGACGGATCTGTCGTATGACAGATAATACAAAGGAAGATTAAAGTAGGCCTGTAACACAAGACCATATGGTTAGAATTCACCCAAAAGCCTGGACCAGCACCTGGCTCAGCCTTTCATCGGTTTGTCGATAGCCTGAACCAGCCCCTCCACAGCCCAGCGCTGCAGTAAGCACTGGAGGGGCAGAGCAGAGAACCAGTGACAGACAGTCACAGCTCTCTGCTCAGAGCGGAGGGGGAGAACTAAGTGTTTGATCGCTCAGTTCACAGTGTAGAGCTGGCAGGGGAGAGAAACAACATCGGATCAATGCTGCATTCATCTAGATGAATATAAATGTTTGGGTTTTTTTGAAGTCCATACTTCTCTTTTACAACCAAGTATTGATGCAGATAGCAGACATTCTGGTACCTACACAAATTCTGCCCATTTTTCATGTTCACCCCTAAAAAACCAGAACTTCAGGGTATGGAGCAAATTCCCTCCTCCATTACACAATGTAGTGTTGAGGGTCTGCCAAATTAGAGCACCATCACCTGACCCTCATACTCTGTTACATACACTTGTTAATGCTTGAAAACAATTTTGCAACTTTGATATGCATTACTAAAACTGTACATGTCAACACAACTGCTTTGTGTATCCAGGTGGAATGTGCCTTGCTTTTTTTCAGGACAAATTGGGTTTTTTTTGGTGGTAAATGGTAACAGATATCTCCTCATTTTTTTTTAATCCAAGGAAAACTGGCCCAGAATATTACAAAATTATTTTTAATAATGTAGCTGTTTATTTCTTGCTATTACCATAATTTACTACCAAAGAATAAACCAAAATAAATTATCTTACTCCTTAAGATCTTAGCAATACCACATATGTGTATGTTAGCTGTTGTTTGTAACCGTAGTAGGGCCCAGAAACAATGATGTCCATTTTGCTACATTTTGATACTAATTTTAAAAATGCATTTTATGAAAAAATACAACCCAAAATATATTGACCCTGACCTTTGACCCTAACACTAAAAACCTGGCACTGACCTAGATCAAACCTTGATCTAGCTATTCTTTCTTTTCTTTCTTTCTTTCTTTCTCACTTTTGTTTGTTTATATCTTCTTCTCCTACAATGTATCTTTCTCTTCTTTCAGAAGAGGAAGTAAACACATGGGTGGACTGCACAGTGATTGATCACTGTGATTGCCAATTAGAGGCAGTAGTCCGGGGTCCCTATCATTAGTACGAGACTTGGGGCTCTTTGTGAGAACCTGGTCTCTATGCTGGGAGCATGCTGTGCTCCCAGCACAAAGACAGCTATGCAGATATGCGGCCCCACGGATAAAAGCCCACTTCCATGAGGCTGCATATCTGTGTATGGTCAGCAAGAAGGGGTTACAATGCAGTGTTGAAGAGTAAGTAATGCATAGAGTGCAGGGATCAGGAGTAAGTAATGCAGAGAGTGCAGGAGTCATGAACAAGTAATACACGGAGTGCAGGGGTGATGAGTAAGTAGTGCACCGAGTGCATGGGTCAGGAATAACAAGGCAGAGCTAAGTCTCCAACTTGCCTCTTCCTTGTTCCAGACCTTTTGTGTTTTCTTCTTCTCCAACCTAGCATTTTCCACCTATTTTCAGTCACATGTGGTGGGCTGTGGAAGGGGCAGGTTAAAGCGCTCTTTGGCAGCAAGAGGTGGTATAGCCATAGCCATAGACATAGCTGTAGTCTGCACTCTATTGGAACTGGCTACGTGCTACCAACCAAGGATGTTTGGTGGTATGAGCCACCTGCATTATAACAACTGCTGTGGTGCGAGCTGCCTGCATCTTAGCAACCAATGATGCTAGGTAGCATGAGTCCTGCCATCTACTAGGTGATGTAAGCCTTATCACCTCCTTTGTCATGGGCTGCACCACTCTCTGAAACACTTTCCTTCACTCTGTCAATAAATGTTTTAAATACCCCATAGAAACATGCCTCTTTAGGGAATGCTGTCATATTCTCTTTTTTTCCTCAGCTTCTTCACAAACTTGTCCATTTTGAACACTTTTACATCCACTCCTCTTCTTGGAGTTATTTACTAATCCTCAACAACTTTTTTCTGTTGAATTCTTAATTCATGAATTATTTGTTAAACCTCTAGGCAGCATGAGCCAATCCAGGATGCTAGGTGGTGTACACAACCTATGTCCTAGCAACCGCTAGGCAACTTGGGCCCCCTGCATTTTAGCAGCCAAGGATTATAGGCAACTTGAGCTGATTGTGTCCTAGCAACTAAGGACGCTGGACATCAATCTGCTAAGTATGACATAACCTGTGTCCCATAATAAATCAATACAGGATGCACCAATTTACTCTGAAATCTAGGTGGATCCTGTATTATACCGAATGGGTGGCAATCCTACCTGCATGCCTAATGCAGACAAAAATCTCAGTTTTCTTAGGTAAAACCTGATGAGACAGCTGAGGTTTGTAATTCTGTAAAAAAAAGCCAGAGATTAAAGAAGTTTGTATTACAGATATAGTTGCTTGATGTGGTGCATTTCTTGAATGCTGGGCAGATAAAGGCTGGCCATAGAAAGGAGGATGTCTCTCCACATGATATCT